GTAAGTTTGTGAGAGCTATTTTTGTTCAATTTGGAGGTAATTCTTTTAGTTATTTATTATTTATGTTTATTTGTCTAATTCTAATACTAAATAATAATCATTATTTCATTCATTATTTTTGAAAATAATGAATGAAAGTTTAATTGAAAGTTTAATTGAAAGTTTAATTGAAAATTAAACCTGTCATAATAAAGCATGTTGAGTAACCTCTGAGAACCCTATCTGAATTTGTGTCTTGTAATATAAAAATTGTCTATCCATACAGAGGAGGCATAGCCTACTTTAAATGTATTGGAATTAATAAGGCATATTTGAGTAAACTTCGAGTATCATTTAAGTATCTGTTTGCCGGGCCGAGTGTGGTTTTTGGTAATCAAAATATGGTCACCCTATTAAACGTTGAAATAATCAGGAAATTATTGAAGTGTTGTTTTTTTAACTTTGTATTTTTAACTTATGTTTCTAGTCTTATTGTGATTCACCAGTGCAAGATGTTTAAAAAAAAAAGTTTTACACTTAGTGCCCTGCTCCCCTCATGCCTTGAATATCAGAAATGACAATTTCAGATGATATTTGTATGTTCATTACAAAAAGACAGATATAAACAGAGACTCACCTGTAGATTGGTGTACAGTAACTGCTGAGGCAGGAACAGTGACCGGTGCTTTAGGACGAGAGGAAACATGTACATCACCAATTTTACACTGAAACATAGCCTATATCATAACACAATTTGAGATCCTAGCAGTTATTATCCTGAATCTTATTGCTTTGATCCCATATTATTAGTTATTTTTCCATATTGACTGCAGTTGTAACTTACCATAAACGTCCACTTCGTATTTCTGCACTGTGACCTTTTTATTAACAATGATTACTGCTTTATACAGTCCAGATTCATTAGTCCTGATGTCTGTGATGGTTAAAATGCCTGTTCCTCTGTCTAACTGTACTCTGCCAGTGAGTCTCTTGTCATAATGTGTGTATATTTTCCCTTGATGCATCTGTGCGATACGAGTACTTTGTCTGCCGCTTTCAAACGTCCACAGTATCTGAACGTCTCCTTGTAGATCATGAAGTCCCGGATGCAGATTGAGGAAATCTCCCTCCTTCACTTTTACTGTTTCAATGGCTTCAACCTCTCCTCCCACTGAAACAATATGAAAACAGGTTAAATATACAGGTGAACAAACAAAAGAATATCCTGAGATCTGTTGCTCCCAACAAATGGTCGGGTAACTTTATAAGAAAAAATCTTGATCGTTAGAAAAAACTTTTTTTTTTTTTTTGGTGACTGTCAGTGCATTGGGTGTAAAATACAATAAAATATCTATCAGAGGTTCAATAAGATCTTAAACAAAACATTTAACAAACAATACAATGTGTAATGATGTGAGAAATATATTTTCTTTTCTGTAAATTTTTTCATGTATAATATATATCTCAGATAACCCCGCCACTAAACACCAAATACACTGTAAAAAATGATATCAAAAGTTATGACAACATAATATTTTTATATTGCTTTTTAACCCCGCAAAATAAGTTATGCAATTTTTGTCATACAAGATTTAACTGATTTTTAAGTCAGCTCAATGTAATTTAAGTTGAAATGACCTAAACATTGTGCAGTTGATTTTACTTAAATTTAAGGCAGCGACTTTATTTATTTTTTACAGTGTAAAAATAACTAAATAATTGCTTTACAAATCAGATGGCCATTTCGTTCTAAGTGGACAGTTCTTGGCAATAATCTGAATTATGGACCAGAACTTCTGCTGTAGTCGTAGACCATAAGCTGATTTCCCCAGAAAGTGAGATCACACTACATATTTCTTGCAGCATTGCAACACTATAGTGTTATAGCAGACACTGTTTGCGGTCTGACTGAAAGCGATCTGAAGAGTGGAAAAGGAAGTTGGTCATTTTGAGGGTTTAAACAATTATGGTTGGAAATCACCTGCAACTAACCAGTAAGTGTTTCTTTGAAATTGAATTATGACACATTTTCTGCTAAGCTCACAGTAATGTCATGTCAGATGTTTGCTTGCTTGTACCCATGAGATGAACTGCAACTTAGTTTTATCTGACATTTAATGTGAGAATTGTTTTCTTGAAAAAAAAAAAATGAATTCACAGCATACACCGTAAGTTAATATTTAATATGTTCCAATAAGTTACTAGATGAGGGAATACTAAAACAAATTAGAAAATTATTGAAAATAAAATAAAAATACCTTACCCTTTTGCACACTGACGAAACCCAAGAGAAGAGCCAGAATACTGATGGACATTTTCAAGGAGAATCAAGTATTCATTTATCCAATATGTTGCGACTGGAGCTCAAGTGATGCACTTTCTGTAAAGATATTCTCTCTCGATCATCAGGAGGAAGTGAGCCCTTTCTCGCAGTCATGAGATGGTACGAGTGTTTTTCTGAAACCTTACTCTCAAAATCCTGTTCCAGTATCAAATAACATCCAATTCTGCACCAATGGCCATCAAGCTGTTGAGAGAAGACCTTCACCAAGACAGATGTTCTGAGTTCAGATTCATAGTCCTGATGGTTATCATTTCCATTTCTTGATCCAGGTAATAATGCATGTAATTTCTCCCTTGATGCATCTGTGCAACACGAGTACTTTGTCCGCTACTTTTAAAAGTCCACAGTATCTGAACATCTCATGATCATCGACTGCAGAATGCAGATTCAGGAAACCTCCCTCCTGCACTTTAACCGTGTCAACATCATCCACACCTCCACCCACTGAAACAGGTTCAGTAAACAACCCCTGGTTATACCTCCAGCGTACAGTTAACACATCATACGAGACAGAACCTAAAGTTAGACGTAATAGTCAAGTGAATCTCAATATTAACCCGTCAACTAGTTTTCAGGTTTTAAATTGGACAACTGAACACACTACCAGAATTGTTAGGTTTTCAATTAAATAAACCATGTTTTTCTCACTGCAAGTGGACCTTCATTTGATGTAGTCTGGGTTATATATATATATATATATATATATAGCCTATGTATATATAGTTCATGTATACTGTGAATAAAGCAATGACATTTAATCCATTACGGGATAGTAAATGAGCGACCACATTGTGTGTATTGCAACACTATCGCTCTGAGATTTGACATAGCATGATCTAAAGAGGTATAACGGAAGTTGATGTTTTTTTGTGGTTTCAGTAAGTGTTGTATTTGCTCTTGACCAGAAGTTGCTTTTAACTTGAAAGAGTGAAACCAATAAAATATGGCACTTTTTAGTTGAACATATAAAACAATGTTTTTGCAGGAAATTAATTTAAATAAATAAAATATGAATTGATACAAATATTTTCTTTGTGTTTCTAATATGAGCTGTGTGAACATGAAGACACACATACAGGCAGGAAATTATCCCTCTTTCCACTCTTTTTTTTTACTGCAAATTTTCATTTTTGGGTGAACGATCCCTTGTCAAAACATATATAATGAAAACAAATAAATATGAGAACATACTTAATATTATTAATATAACAAATGTAATATTTTCTAACATTTTCTAATTGTATTTAATAGGCTATTATAATTTTCACAAACTGTATACTGAAATTAACTTTTTGAGGGGTGGGATTACTGCTGGAAAAACCAGCATAGACCAGCTACCAGCAAGACCAGCATATGTTGTGTTTTGGTGCTGGTATGCTGGTGACCAGCATGGGATGCTGGTATGCTGGTGACCAGCATGGGATGCTGGTGACCAGCATGGGATGCTGGTATGCTGGTGACCAGCATGGGATGCTGGTATGCTGGTATGCATTTATTAAATGCATCCCATGCTGGTCACACCAGCACCAACATTGGATGCTGGTTATAAACATTGGAAACTATGCAGGTCAACAGTAATAGACCAGGATGGTAGCCTGTTCACCAGGATGGAATGCTGGACAGCTACATTGAATTTTGGTATGATGAAAATCATGAAAATACAAGCTTAAATTAATACATGTAACAAGTTCATTTAATAATAACAAGTAAACATTAACAATTATAACAATTATTTAACAAAAAACAACACTCAGGACGACAGAACAAATCAACATAAACAAAGAACATACACATCAACATTTAGTAATTTACCTGAAAAAGTAGGATCAATACAGTAATGATGACAGAACAGAACGATATAAACAGAGCATACACATCAACATGTACTAATCTATCTGAAAAGGTAGGCCACTGTTAGCAGGTTACTGTTGACAAGGACAAATGTGTAGTACAAAGCACAAAGCAGTCGACTCATTTTTGTCTCAAATGGAACCACATAGTTTTTTTTTAGTCTATTAATGTCCATTATTTTTTCTGTAATGAACCGTCCAGCCTTTCTCCATCTGGCCTGCGACTCTGTCTCCTCCACATTCTGCAATGTTCAAAATTCTCCTTGAAGCAGACTGAAAAGAAATGAACAGATAAATAGTGATGCTTGTGTCGCACCAGAACAAATAAAAATATATTACTCCATAACCCAGTACTTGGCATCCCACAAAAACCTTGTGGCTACTGCTACCTTTTAATGTCTGAAGTTTCTGGGGGGTTAAGGGCTGCCTGGTGGTTTTGGTTGTGGGGCATTCCTTCCCTGTGAGACTTCTTTCCCATAGAGTCTTAGTGCCCCAGATTGCCACTGCCAACTCCTTCACGAATAAGGAATCCCGAGTACTGTTTTGGATCTTTGACCAGGCCTCTCTACGCACTCGAACGTCTCCCCCCAAGTGAATCTGACAAAATTAAAAACAAAAATAATCAAGGTACTAGATTGTACATATGCATACAAAATTCATAAAAACTTTAAGTGTACTGGTTTTTATATTAATCCATGCACACAGATGACAAGGGCAATGCTGTACCTCATCTCCTTTTGAAGATAGAGAGGGTTCCACCTCATTCAAACAGCCAGACTCTGCAACTATATACAAAATAATGTAAATATACTCAATATACATATTTACCCACTTGCATCAGGGCCTATACTTTGGTAAATATGGACCATGATAGATTTCAGATATCTGTGAGTAATATATTTTTTGCACTTACTTTGTAAGGTCTCCTTTAGGCTTGGTGGTCTAGGATCTTTGACAATTAGAAAGAGAACAAACATATCACAAATATGATAGATGATGGAAAACATGACAACAAAGAATATACTTTGTAAACCCTCAAAGATCACAGCAGAAGCACTCCAATAAGACTCATAGTCTTGCCCAATCCCAAAGCAGTGTGCTGAAATTTGAATTTGCTATATGCACCAGCACCACCCCCTCCCAAGAAGAGAAATCTTGGAGATCTCCTTAATAAACGGAGGTCTGAAATCTCTGCCCCTTTTACGATCAGAGCGCACGCTGACACAGAGTAAAGCCTTGTTTATACTTGACGCGTCCGCACGAGCGTGAAGGTGCGTGCGGCAAAAATGATGGCATTGCGGTGTGGGCGGTCGTGCGCGTTGGGTGCGCAAGACCCCATTTCGCTTGGCGGTGTGCACTGCTTTTTTTGTAACAGCGCACGATGTGCATTCCGAGGATGAACGACTTCAAGCCGAATCTGCTGAGCATGTACGTCTCACCACACCAGTTTCCGCGTCTAAATTGCAAAGTTCATTGCAAAGTTTTTTTTTGTCAAGGTTTAGTTTACTGTGTGTGATTTATTTAAAACAAAGCACGTTCATTGCAAAGTTTTTTTTTTTGGGTTAAGGATTTGTGTACTGTGTGTGGCCCAGGAGGACCTATAAGGGTCTTCCCTAAGGGCCCCGTGCCCGGTTGCATAAAGCACCTTAAGTTTTTCCCTTAAGTATGATACTTAAGGGGCGATTTACCCTTACCTAAGATAACAATTTAAGGGTGTTGCATATAATCTCTTAAACGGTTCTCTTAGGTAAGGGAAACATTTAAGTGTTTCACGACAGCGATCCTGGATTCACGTTATAAAAGTCTGTTGTTGCCATAGATACGCAAAACACTAACATGTCGGAATATCACGTGTCAGTCCAGTGACGCTATCACGCAACACCGCGTTAGCTCCGAACGTGGCGGCAGTTTGTGTTGTTCACCGTCTCATGCTTTGGCATTTGTTTAGGTTTTGTGAATGCACTTCTGGCTCTGTGTCTCGAAATACAGCTGAGTATATTTCCATAGCATACCTGTTTTCTTCTGTCATGATTCCTTTTAAAACACAGAATCAGCTCGTTCTCCTGTGAATTTTTTGTCGGCCACACACTCTCCGTGCGCGCACTGACTTAACGTTGTGATAGTTTACATGCGAGTCGCGTGTAATGACAGACAGACAGCCGTCTAGTTTGATAGCGATGTCAAATATTGCGCGTCGATCAAATCGGTATTCTTGCAACAATTTTTCATGGCTAAATTGGTCCAAAGGGTTCTTCCTATTCCATATGATCTTCAGCTGGTTTCATAAATTCAGCCATGTCGTCTTATTTTTGTCCGCGTTACTCTTAAGGTTACGATTTCCAAACCTTAAGTTATACTTAGGGAAATTACCGTTAAGGGGTTTTATGCAACACTTAACGATTACTTAAGTGAAAAAACAGCATTTAAGGGAAATTCTAAGTGTTTATGACGTTTCACTTAAAAAAACCGTTAAGTAACACTTAAGGGTATTTTTCTGCAACACCCTTAGGTTTAAGGGAAACATAAGGGCGACTTTAAGGGAAAATTACACTTAAGGTGCTTTATGCAACCGGGCACCGGTCCTTGAACGAGATTCTCTGTCACTCAATCATCTGAAATGTTTCTCGTCAGTACAGTAACAACAAATAGCGCTGTTTTCATTTGTTTCAGACTATTTCTATTATTATTTTTATTAGACTATTATTTCTAGACTTATTTTACATTTGATAATTCAATTTATGTACCTAAGTTAGATTTTCCTAAAAAACATAATGCACAGCTTATTTCAATTGTATTTTTCTTCTATTGTATTTATCTATGCTTGTAATTTGTTTATAATTTTCTATGCAGATTCAGTTTTGAATAGATTTCACTCCCCAATTATTCTATGATTATTTTCAGACCTAAATAAATAATCTGATGAAATTGTTTTTATATTGCAATATATATATATAGCAGAAAAACAAAATATGTATTTAAGTTTTTCAATATCGTGCAGCCCTAATATTGAGCATATCTTAAATTGAACCTGGATTGATAATTTGTGATACCAGATGAGATGTATATATAATAGATTTTGAACTGTACTATTTTTGTATTGCAGGTTATAATAAAGACATTTAATTATACATTTTTTAAAGATCTTGTAAATAACTTTGCTTAATATTAACATTATTATTAGTAGTATATAAATGCTAAAAAATTTTCATCATGAGCTATTGGCATGTAAATGAACATAATGAGAATAGAGAGTGAAAAAAACAGCTCTATCTAAAACTTTTCAATCAAGTCAAAGGAGTACCAGCTCCTGTTGAAAGTTATAGTACACAGTACACACACATGAGAGGTACAGCCTCTCCCTACTCTTACAAAATTACAAACAACCAGCCTGAAAAACACGTTGTATGAAGAACCAATAACGTCCAAGCTTATCGATACTGCGGTCTTCCTTAATTTGGCCCCAGGGCCCGTTTAATACCGGGTTTCGATACCCATCCCTACATATGGGTGAGTTCATATGGATGACAGCATGTTGTGTTCTGTCTCTTGGTTTGTGATATTGGCAGCTATTGTGAAACTCACCTTCTTCATCTACTGAGTGTGGATGGCATCAAGATCTTGTCCTGAAGAATCACAGGGCCAAACGCTAGGGATTACATCTCATCTGGTGACAAGAGCATAGCCATAACTTTAAGAACTCTAATTATATCTTTACCCCCTGATTTTGCATTTGGGATATAAATTCAAACATTTTAAAGGCTAAGAGTATGAGACATGAGTAAGCTGGCCAGATATCTGTGAAAAATAACTTGCGAGCCTAAAGTTGTCGACCCCCTGAACCACATTCAGCATTTATAAGTAAAAGGAATTTCAGTATTTATCAATAAAAAATACATACAAATAAATAAATACCTTTGAGTTGGACAGTATGGTGTCTGTCTCATTGGCCAACATAATTCAAAACAGATCTAGAGAAAGAAAATATACCAATGACCATGATATCCTGTTATCATAATAGTTAAATGAATTATTATAACTACGACCATTATATTTGTCGCTTAATATTTAGCTGATTATTTAGCCTACAGGCTTCTCAAGGATAATCTCATTGAAAAAACCTGGAGTTAATGATTTTAAAAAGTGAGATTTCTTTCAAAAGCATAAATCTTACAGACCCCAAACTTCTGAAAAGTAGTGCACTGTGTGTTTGAGGTTTTGCTCATGGATAGCCGTGGAGATTGTCTTGGACAGGGGGTGCAGAAGGCCATCAGCATGATGATCTAGGAACATAACATGCAATTTGTCACTGAGCCAACAATGTTACATAGGATTTACAATAGAATATAGGGTTTATTACAAGGAACCAAGCTAGAGCAGAGGTGAAATGCAGAAAAAAGAATATATATATATAAATAATCTTAAGATAATACATATTGTGAAATAAATGCATATGAAATTATTATGATGATTAAACAATAATGCAACCTTAGTGTAGATGTTTCACTTTCTTTTGATCAATGTAAGTGACCTCACTGATTAACAGTACAGTGCATTCTATTAGGTTAAATAAATTAGCTTACTTCTAATCACCCATTGACAAATTACCAGCAAAACAAAACTATCAAAAAACTGTTCTCTAACGTTACACAAAGATGTGGTTAACCCCAAACTTTCATAAACAAGAGCTCCAGTCTGTAGAGTTAGCCTTAACTTAACGTTAGGCCTACCTCTTCTGGAAACGGTTGAGATGCTAACGGACTTTTTCGAAGACACAAAACCATTTCTATAAAGTAAATATTCAACAGAAGCGTATCAATTACACGTAAGAAATGTGTCAGGAGCGTTTGTATGTATTTTTTGTGTGATTTCTTTTACTAAACTTACCTGAAAGCAGTGAAAACAACAGCGAGAGACGCTAGTTTTGCTGTTTGTCAGTTGATGACGTTTCCTCGTTCCCATGTCATCTGCTCTCTCGCGCGCGCTCCAGTCTTTCAATACGACTCGAATGTGTACGCGCACGCGCATTAAAACACTTCAATGGCACGCAGCATATAAATAAACATCTAGAATTAAAACGTATAAAATAATTTAAAATATCATTAATATTAAATCATGAATTTAGTTTAAGAATTTGACACCTCTTTATTTTATTTGAAAACGTGCTTGCAATATTTTCATATTATCTTTTATATATAAAATAAAGATGTCCTGAAAGTTGTAAATATGAAAGTAGTATTGATTATATAATAAAAAATATAAAGTAGCTTTAGAAATGGTAAACAGTGTAAAAATAAAAGTAGCCTACATTGCAAAAACTCACTTGATTAAAACCTTTACATTATCATATATTTTCATGAATATATTTTCACATAGGTTTAAAAAACTGAGCTGAGAACTAACTGGTGCTTAAATAGTTTTTTTTTTTTTTTTTACCCTTTAAGAATGTTCTGTTCCTGTTCAGAAGAGCAGGAAAAAAGTGAAGCACGGAGTGCTATTTGAATGTATTTATTTGTTGCTGCTGAAAAAAAAAATACACTCATTATGCAACATCTGTCTAGCACGTTAAGTGTTGCTTCTCAATGTTTTTTTTTTATTATTATTATTATTATTTACTTTACTTTATTTTTAAAAAATTACTTAGTAATTAAGTATAGGTTCCCTTAAGGTTGTTACAAAAAAATCTGTTTGACCAGCATCACCAGCAAGACCATGCTGGTAGACCAGCATCATTAATGAGACCTTGCTGGTTGGCCAGCATCACCATGCTGTTTGACCAGCATCACCAGCAAGACCATGCTGGTAGACCAGCATCATTAATGAGACCTTGCTGGTTGGCCAGCATCACCATGCTGTTTGACCAGCATCACCAGCAAGACCATGCTGGTAGACCAGCATCATTAATGAGACCTTGCTGGTTGGCCAGCATCACCATGCTGTTTGACCAGCATCACCAGCAAGACCATGCTGGTCCACCAGCAAAACCAGCACCAAACCAGCATAGACCAGCATAAACCAGCATAGACCAGCATAAACCAGCATGGAAATTATGCTGGTCTATGCTGGTTTTTTCAGCAGGGAGAGCATACTAGACTAAATCATTCTATGTTTAAAATAGGCAAACATGAAACGGGTCAATGTAATTATTGTGATCAGGCAAAAACAATTGAGCATGTTTTAATAAAATGTTTAAAATATGAAAAAGAAAGGTTACAACTTTTTAAGTAAGTAAGAAACATGTTGAATCATGTTGAATCATTTAGCCTTTTGAAAGAGCAAGCAGAACAATGTCAAATATAGGCTATAGTGCTATTATAAAATATATTAAAGAAATAGGATTAGACTGGATATTTAATTTAATTTAATTTAATTATTTTTGTCGCTTATTAGTGCTCCACACTCCAGTCCAGCTGGTGGCGGTAATGCTCCGAACAAATGCTGCCGACCGCCATTTGAAGAAGAATTTCCCGGGAATACTTGTAATCCAGAAAGTAGTCGCTACGCAGGTGTGTTTTAAAGTCCTCACCATCACTCCACATCCGATAAGTCACTTTGAGAACAGCTTTTACTATCAGAATTGGAGGACTACAGAATGGTAATCAAGATGATCGGTTCTCTACTCTTTATTTTTCTGGGAAATGCTGTAGCTGGTAGGTCGAGTTCGTTATTTAGCATAACGTTAGTAAAAAAAAGTGATGTGAGTAACTTATCAGTCATACTAGATTCAGGTTGTATTGCTGGGATCAACTCTCAGGTGGTGAAAAGAGAGAACATCACCTTCCCAATAATAGATCACACCAAATCGGGAAAAGAGTACGATGTCGCCATTGGTTTGAATGCCACTTTAATCGCTGATCTAACTTGCCGTAATGGCAACTGTAAGATCGTCCGGCAGAAACCTGGAATTCTGATAGTTTATGAAAATGGCTTCCTGACCATAATGAACGCCAGCAGACTTGACGAGGGGATTTACAAGATTCGCTACAGTGGTGGCAGTATCAAGAAGAACGAGACTGAGAAGTGTTTTCATGTCACGGTTATAGATGATGGTAAGTAAATCAAAATGATTTTAATATTTTTCTAAAGTCATTTCAGGTGAAGTGGGGCATTTAAAATGGATTGTACTGTGTTCAACAGGTGTGCACTGTTAAAGCATATTACCGCAAACATTTGTTTATTACAGCAATGTGTGTTGAATGAGTAAATGAATCCACACACAGATGAACAGATGATATGGCTAGTGGGTACAACACTAAAGACACACCATAAAGTGTTCCTAAAGACAGACACACACCTTAGGACAAATGTGCTTTACACTACTCCCAATGTGTGTCAAGTCGTTTTAACATTTAATCCTGAAATCCTAGTAGTATCTATTTTCATGCTACTAGTACTTATTTTTTAGATACTAGTATATAGTCCATTAAGTACTAGTACTTATTCGTTACTAGAACTAATGTATTTTTTAGATACTAGTGCTTATTCTTTAGGTACTAGTACCTTTCTAAATATACTAGTACTTATTAATTAGATACATCATGAGCTACATGAGATAGTTCTTATTTATTAGATACTAGTACTTATTCCAATAGTGTATAGTATTTAATTATACCTAACTTGTTAAAAAAAGATATCCTTACCTTAATAGGATACTAGTACTATTTAAATAATTAATATTTAACATATTATTTGCATACTATGTTATGAATACAATGTTTGAACCAACAACCTATCAAAGAGAGACACGGGAAACGGACTGAATTGAACAAGTCTCTGCTTATTCTTTAGATGGTAGTACCTTTTTAAAAGATACTAGTAGTTATTCATTAGATACTAGTTCTTATTTTTCTTAACAAGTTAGGTATAATTAAATACTAGACACTATTGGAATAAGTACTAGTATCTAATAAATAAGAACTAGTATCTAATGAATAAGTACTAGTACCTTTAGTTTCTTTGAACTTTTTTGATACACTTTTAATGTTGACTACTATAGTTCTTGTTCACAGTGATTAAAGATTATTAAACGAAAATATTTAAAAATGATTGCACAACCACCAAATAGGTGCCGATATGCACGATGTATGTAAATCAGCATTTGACAAAAGAAGAAGAAAGTAGTATGGCGTGCTTTTTCTTAGCGTCTGTTTCCATGGTGATTCGTACTTTCGTAGCTCTGTTGAGAATGTCTGGTGTGTAAAACATGAACATATTCCTGGACGTGTTTTTGGAACCAGCATACATTGAGTAATACCTTGTATTCCTTTCTGGAATACACCCCAGGACCCGATCAGACATATAGCAGTGCTTTAGCAAAGTGTCTACACTTTGACTCAAATTTTGTCTTGAACTTTATATCTCTAGTTGCTTTTGTTTTTGTTCTAAACAGACAATCTGCTCAGTACCATCAGCCCAGATCCTTCATCCATCTATCCATCTACTACACCTGCTGTGTCACGGTCTGACCCGCCCAGCACAATCAGCCTAGAAACCTTACAAATAATCGCATGCGTCACCGGAGTGGGCATCGGAGTGGTCATCCTAGTGGCCATTTTTGTCATCAACTGGTGGTGGCAAAGGGCAAGTATTATCACAGAAATATTAAGCAACAGTTCTGTTTTTTGTATTGATATTGGAATGCTTTTAAGAGTATTTGTGAAAGACTTGTAAAGTTTCTTGATATTTTGCTCATAAAGGATTCCATTTAAAGTCATATCAGATCATTAAAATGTCATTCATTACATTGATGGTTTATTTGATATTTTGATCTTGATGACTTTTATGTGCAGTTGCAGTAACAGATTGTGATTTCAACTTTCTCATCTCCATACAGAAGGAGCAACATAATTCTGATGCTGATGTCGCTGCAGGGGATTCCATGGTGTGAAAACCTTTTGAGCCGATCTTCAATGGAGGTCAGTCCACTAGATGACTCTGTTTGCATCATGGACAATATCAGGGTTGCCAGCTTTGCCTGGTTGGAGTGAGATTATGATGACATGAGCTAAATCAATCACACACATCTAGTAAAGGTTTGAAGGATCTAACAACTCATTTTAATTTCATCTTAATATTGCAACTTACCCAATTTATATAATGTGTATGTATAGGTGTCTTGTGGTTACACCATATTATTTATTCTATTATTTGTATTATTTTTAGTGGAAATGAATGGTGCATAATTTAGAGGTAAATATTGTTTAGTACCATGAAATCCAAAATGTTAAATTAATAAATATTATGGAAAATGTAGTAGGGGTGGGCGGTATGACCAAAATTCTATTTCACAGTATGACTAATTTTATTTCACGGTAACGATATATTTCACGATATAGGTATTTATATATGTAGCTATTCTCGAAAAATCGACAAAAAGGGCTTTGTATAATAAATAAACCCAGATACTTTAGAAATGAAAAGTACTTTGCTTTCTGTTTCTCTTACTTGGTAAATAACCATTTGGTAAACTATTTAGATAGCATATATAAACAAAGCACACTCATCAACTTTTAGATGAACTGCCCCCAACTGATTGATATTAAATACAACTCATAGGTGCAATTAAACTTTAAATAAAGTGTTTCTGAATAATTTTTCAATCATGTTATGCTTTACTTCATCAATCAGTTTATAATATCTGAATATTTTATATTGAACTATTCTATTCATGATAAATTAGTTATTTCCTTTTAATTTTGTAGGATAGTAATACTAGTTGTTTAAATGTGTTCCCCAGTACATTTTTGCCATGTCCACTTAGGCTACACTGCCTGGCAACCCGTCACCCTGCGCTTTAATCAATAGAAGTTCAGAAGTGACTAAGGAGAGCAGCAGTTTGAAAACCGAACAGCAGCTACTGTTAGTGTTGACTAAGTAGCCTAGTTTAAATTATACACACCTTGTAACTGCGTCATTATTTGACCATAGCCCGGTGAACACCGCGCTCCCTCAGTGCGTGTGCACGCGCGCGTCTTCTGCATCAGTAAATGTGATCGGTTAATTTGAGTGTCAAGTTGTAA